TCAAACCCCAGTACTGCCTCCCAAGAAAAAAGGGTTTCAACAAAGAAAAGGATCAAAGACAGGACCTTTATTTGATGCGGTATAGACTGACATATTATTTTGGTATTACTTTTACAGTAATATATAAGCAGGATATACACCTCATTTAGCCAAACCAGACATAAAATCATAATGTTATAAGTTTATATTGACTTTTAACAAACCATAGAGATTTAGTGAACAAAGGGAGTTTCAGACTAATGTTTCAATTAATAGGTATGAAACTCAACAGCAAACACTGATCTCTTTTTTTTAGTATGTACGTTTTATTGTAAAGATACTGTACAGAGTTACAGTTACATGAGTACATTTCCTATCAATTATTGTTACCCCCTCCTTTGTTTTTCCCCTACTATCCCTATTCTCCACACCTCCCTAACTCCTCCCTGCCTTGAAGTTGTAAAGTTCATTTTCAACATAGTGTCTTGCACATCTAATTGTTACAATGGGTCAACCTGTATCCCTATTTCACCATTTGTTATTTCCTTCCCCTCCTCAAATTAGAAAAATGTATATAATACAAGATGCAGGGCACCGGAATCAAATACAGAGACAACAGGGGTTATACCATGGGGGAAGAACATACAAAACAAACAAAAAAAATCACATAGTACATTATAAATACATTAAAATCAACAGCAAGGAAGATAAACCTCTTGTGTCCCTGTCTTGGTGCTTATTTCACTCACCATCCTCTTAAACGGTCATATGGACATAGCTTTTGACCTTTTCTACTTGTCTTAGACATATACTATTTATTGCAAATAAGGGAAACCATGGGCCTATGTTTCTTTGGGCCTGTCTTACTTCATTTGATATGACTTTTTCCAAGTCTTTCCATTTCCTAATAAATGGGGCAATGTTATTCTTTCTGATGGAGGCATAGAATTTCATTCTATATATACCACGTTTTCTTGATCCACTCATCTACTCAGGAGCATCTGGGTTGGTTCCATATCTTAGCTATGGTCAATAATGCTGCAGTAAACACAGTTGTTCTGGTAGCTTTAGTATGGCCTTGTTTGTGATCATTTGGGTAAATGCCCAGGAGTGGGATTGCTAGGTCATAGGGGAACTCTGTGTTGTCTTTTGAGGAACCTCAATACTGCTTTTTAGAGTGGTTGAACAAGTTTACACACCCACCAACAATGCAGTAGGATTCCTTTCTGGCCACATGCCCTCCAGCATCTGTTGTTATTAGATTTCTTAATTATAGCCATTCTAATAGGAGTGAGGAGAATCTCAATGTTGTTATGAATTGCATTTCTTTCATGGCTAGAGAAGTTGAATATTTCTTCATATGTCTATAGGCCATTCTTATTTTTTCTTCAGAGAAGTCTCTCTTTACCTCTTTAGGCCACTTATCAATCGAGTGGTTGTTTGAGGATTTGTTGTTGGGAGATTTGATTTTTTGAGTGCTAAGTATATTTTAGATTTGAGACCCTTGTCCATTGTATAGCTAGTGAAGATCAAATGCTAATCCATGGACTTTCTATTGATCTTGCTAGCTATGTCCTTTGCCATGTAGAAGCTCTGCAATTTCATGCAATCCCATTTATCTAACATTTCTTTGAGTTGTTGTGTTTCTGGTCTTTATTAAGAAAATTTCAGCCTGTGCCAAGGAGCCCTAGAGTTTCTCCTATTTCTGTAATGTTTCCAGAGTGTCTTCTTTGACTTTGAGGTCTTTGATCCACCTGGAATTGCTTCTGTTGCAGGGTGATATATAAGGATCTAGCTTTAGTTTTCTACAGGTATTTAACCAATTTTGCCAGCACATTTACTGAAGAGGCTGTCATTCTTCCATTCTATTTTTTTTGGCTCACTTATCGAAGATTAGGTGGCTATAGGTCTGTGGGTTCATTTCTGGGTTTTCAGTTCTATTCCATTGGTCCTGAGGTCTGTTCTGTGCCAGTACCAAGCTACTTTGATTACTATGGCTTTGTAGTAGAGTTTGGGATTTGGTATTAATATTCCTCCAGCACTGTTCTTTCTGCTAAGGACTGTTTTTGCTATTCGGGGTCTTTTATTGTTCCATATGAATTCTTAGGTTGCTTCTTCTATTTCATTGAAGAATGAGGTTGGAATATTGATAGGTATTGCATTGAATATGTAGATAGCCTTTGGCAGTATTGCCATTTCACAATGTTAATGTAATCCTCCAAATCTAGGAGCATGGAAGGTTTTTCCACTTCCTTAGTTCTGCTTTAATTTCCCTTTTCAGGGTTTTAAAGTTTTCATGATAGAGGTCCTTCACTTCTTTAGTTAACTCCTAGGATTTTATTTTTTGTGGGGCTATTACAAAAAGAGTTGCTTTCCTGATTTCAGCTGCGCTCTTTTCGTTATTGGCATTCAGAAAAGCCATTGTTTTTGAGGGTTAATTTTATACCCTGTTACTTTGCCAAAGTTTCAGAACAGCTTGAGTAACTTGGAGTGGAGTCCATGGAGTTCTTTAAATACAAGATCATGTCATCTGCAGAGAGGGAGAGTTTTACTTCATCTTTCCCTATTTGGATCCCCTTTATATTCGCATCTTGTCTTACTGCTCTAGCTAGGCATTCTAATACTAAATTGAAGAGAAGTGGAGAAAGTGGACATCCTTGTCTCATTCCTGAATTTAGAGGAAATGACTTTAGCTTTTCGCCATTAAGTATAATGCTGACTGTAGGTTTCTCATACACAGCCTTTATTATATTGAGGAATGTTCCATGGATTCCTAGTTTTTCCATAGCTTTTATCATAAAGGGATGTTGGATCTTGTCAAATGCTTTTTGTTTGATTGTTTGTTTTTGCTTTATTTTGCCAGTCCTAGGGCTGGAACTCAGGGTCTGGGAACAGCTCCACTTCCAGCTTTTTGTTTATGTGGCACTGAGGAATTGAACCCAGGGCTTCGTGCATACTAGGCAAGCACTCTACCACTAGGCCACATTCCCAGCCCCTGAACTTGCTTTTATGCATCTATTGAGATAATCATGTGGTTCTTATTCTTGCTCTTGTCAATGTGATGAATTATATTAATTTATTTACATATATTGAACCACTCTTACATCTCTGAAATAAATCTTGTTTGATTATGGCATATGATTTTTTTATGAGTTTTTGAAGTTTTGAAGTAAAATTGGCCAAAATCTTGTTGAGAAATTTGGAAATCAATGTTCATCAGAGAAATGGTTCTATAGTTCTCTTTCTTTGATATGTCCCTGTCTAGGTTTGGGATGAGGGTTATGATGACTTTAAATAAAGAGTTTGGTAGTGAACTTTCACTTTCAATTTCATTGAAGAGTTGGAAAAGTATTGGTGTGAGTTCTGCTTTGAAGTCCTTGTAGAATTCATCTGTAAATCCATCCGGTCCTGGGCTTTCTTGGGTGGGAGGGCTGTTATTGCTGTTTCTACTTTGATGCTTGATATGGGTCTGTTGATTTAAATCATCTTCGTTTAGTTTGGGCATGTCAGTATTTGCTAGAAATTCATCTTTCTTCCAGAGAAGTATTCCCTTATAATGTTCTGAATCTTGGTTGTTTCTGTGGTGATGTTTACATTCTCATCTCTGAGTTTGTTTATTTGGGTATGTTCTCTTCTTTTTCTGATAGATTTGCTAAGGGTCTGTGAATTTTGTTAATTTTTCGAAGAACCAACTCTGTTTTGTTGCCTTTTTCTATGTTTTTTTGATCTCCTTTTTTTCAGTTTTTAAGTCTCAATATATGAAGAAATCTACATATGATTCTAGTTATTTGATAGGCAGAGCTCAGTAAAATCATGGTTTGAGGCCAGCCTAGACCAAGTGTGTAAGACCCCAATTCAACTGTATATTACCTGTCTATGGTGGTGTGTACCCTGTCATCTCAGCTACAATTAAGGAACTAATTAACTAATTCTTTGAAATAAAAAATTTTTATAAAACTAAAACTAATTTTTTTAAAAAAGACAATATGCAACAGATAAAATCTAGTTCAGAGAAATATCTTCCAGTCTTACAAACTAAGTCTTCTATTCATGAAAAACAACAATTGAAATGCTAGAAAAGAGTGAAAAAGTCCCTCTTTAACACATACAAGGGAAAATGACTCCTCTTACCTCTACTTGCTTCACAGATTTATATAAATGTTCTAAGCTGAAAATTATCTTACTATAGAAAAGTTTTAAAATTTCCCTTCTACCTACAGGTCAAAATTCTACAATTTAACAGAGCATATAAACCACTCTAAGTCCTCCAACTTTATACTGGGAAACTTATCAGCAGGAATTTTTATCTCAGTTTTAGAGGTGAGGAAATCCAAGATGAAACACTTGTAGATTTGCTGTCTGGTCAAAGCCAGCATTCTAGATTGCAAATGGTGCCTTCTGCTTGTGTCTTCAGATATTAGAAGTGGCAAACTATCCCTCAGGGGTCTATCTTAGAATGGTACTAAGTCTGTTCATAAGAGGTTCACTCTCACAACATAAAATGTCAAATGGCTCACTTCTTAATACTAGAATTAGGTAACTAATTAGATAACTACCACCTAGGTAACTAGGTGTTAGCATAGTAAGTAACATCAAACACAGATGGCATTTGGCCTTCTGGACTCATCTGTTAAGTTTCCTAAAATCTCCCAAGCTGTTTCATGGCTCTGATCCTTTATTCTCTTCTTTCCTTATGCTATACAGTAAACATTTCTTATGAGTCTTTAGTGAAATACTTTATCTTTTATGAAATTGTCTCTGGTGTCTCTTCTTTAGAATTAGCCCTCCAGACTTCTGGGATTCTATTAAATCTCAATACATTTCATTTTTGCAGTATTTTTCCCGGTACTAGACCAGTAAGTCATCTCTCTGTTATGATACCATCTAATGTAGCACCTAAAAGAAACCAGGTCTGGTAACTGTTAATTGCAGAGGATAATGCATGAACATATCTCAGGGATTTGATCAAAGTAAAAAGGAAAGTATGTATTAGCTAAGTTGACAAAGATATAGTCTTTTACCTGTTTGGAGTTGGTTAAATATAGCTTTGCTCCCAGATTTAAAATCTGCAGCTTTACCAGATCATCTTCACTAGTGAAACTTTTAGCCATCTTCCTCAAAACATCAGGGGCAATTTTAGGAACTCGTTCACAGTTTTCTCCAATCAGCCAAAGAATACTTGCTCTAGCCACAGGAACCTATTAGAAATGGATTACATAATTAGAAATGGATAGTCATACCCTAACATTAACAAAAAATGGCTTAGTATTATCAAAATTTTACATCTTTTAATTTGTCATATGTACATGCAGGGAGTGTTCTTACATTCATGGATTTTTCTTGAGTTATCAAAAAATAAAAAGATAGATAATGGGCCAAATCTGGTTTACCAGCTTACTTTTGTCTTATCCATTTCTGCATTCGTGCTATGATGCTAAAGTGAGTTGTTGCAATGAAAACTACAGAGCCCTAAGCCAAAAATACTGATTACCTAGCAAATTATTGAAAAGGTTTGCTGACTCCTGTTCTCAAGCCTCAAAGCCATTAAAATTTTTTTTTGTGGGCTAATTTTCTGTGTTGAGCCCCAGGAATGCATGTATTAAAAAGTATCACTGATGGTTCCTAGGACAAGTGGTTCACAAACCACATTCTATAAACCTATGGAAAATACAGAAAAAGAAACTGAGTCATTAAAGACTATGACTACAAAAGCACTACTATCTTCTAGTATGTCCACTAGAAATGTATCAAACTCATAGATCAAGATCTGCTTAAAAAATTACGAATCCCTATGTATTATTCAGTCAACAAAAAAAATAAGGATAGATTTGTCCAACACTGCACTTTGGCATTATATTTATAAAATATAGTACATTTCAATATAATTTGTTTTCTTAACAATCACTGCTTTGCTACAAATTGGAAACCTTCCATCAGAACCATTAAGACCAACATTTCAGAGTATGTAAATTACTTTTATTACTATTTGCTTATTTGTATCCTCCCTATTCCAAAAGGAATTTGAGAGGGTATGTAAATTAGTTTTTGTGAACATTTTCACCTAGCATAGAAAATTTGTCGTATAATAAATGAAAAAGCTGATGGCTATCATTAAGTGATAGCATCAGGAGACAACACTGTTTATAAAATGTTTTTACAATTTCTCAAACTTTTAATGGTTTCTGTATACTTGCAAAGGTATCCATATTATGATACAAAAGAAAAAAGTGAGAATACAAACCTTTCCATTGTTAAACTTTTTGTGTGTGTGTCAGTCATGGGGCTTGAACTCTGGGCTTGGGTGCTGTCCCTGCGCTCTTCAGCTCAAGGTGAGCGCTCTACCGCTTGAGCCACAGCACCACTTCTGGTTTTCTGGTGGTTTATTGGAAATAAAGAGTTTCACGGACTTTCCTGCCCGGGCTGGCTTTGAACCGTGATCCTCCGATCTCAGCCTCCTGAGTAGCTAGGATTACAGGCATGAGCTACCGGCGCCCAGCTCTCCATGGTTAAACTTTTATCACAATATTTACTATTTCAAATTGTCTTGAATATCCATACTATAACAATAAAAATATTAACCACCTATGTTGACTCTTCTCCCCAAATCAGAATGAAATCATCAAAATCTCTTTAGTATTTAAAAAGTATGTATTTCCCAAAATTAAAACAGCATCATCTTTAAACAAATACTTATAAAAAGTTTAGAAAGACAGAAAAACCTAGTTTACTTATGTAATAGAAAAAAAAGGTCTAAGTGGTTATTACAAATCTATTCAAGCAGGATGATAAAACTAATACCCTTACAGTATTACTGATTTCTGGAAGGAAAGAGGTTATTTCTAATGTTCCAAAGGTTACACTGCATTAAGACCTTACTCCCAATCTATTATTTTAAATTGGGCTAAAGAATAGTAATTGAGTGGTACATTAAATTTTCCAGTATGGAGCAATTCAAGTTGCCTGCCACAATGAAAGGTACTTCTAAATAAGAATATATGAGCAACTTCATATTTCAGTTATGCTAGATTTATTTTTCTTTAACATTTTATTACATATTACCAGTATTAAAATTAAAATTCTACAACATATAACAATCTGTTATCCCATTTAAGTAATTTTCTTCTGGTAACCCTTTCTATTCTCATGTGCAAAATAGCTAATCCCAAAGTGAAATAAGGGTTTTAAATTTTTTTTCATGTTTGAATATATTAAGAGCAAGATAACAATTTTTGAATACTCCAAGCATTGAGAATGCACACATTTAAAATACATCTGCTTGGAAAAATTAAAAGCAGTAAATCAGTGATCACAATGAAAATATCAAGGTAGTGATAGTGTAGGGATGATAATATTTGGAATTTTATAGTTAATAAATTCCAAAGTAAACATTCATTTTTTTGAAAAAATAGAAAAATTCTCCGCAACCAGAAATATAAATACTGCATCAAATTCTTGGTAACAGCATTTCATTTTTTAAAAATATTAGGATACTGATAGAACCAATGTTTACTTCTTTTTCCAGAGTTAGAATTCTAAGATTTTTCTAATACCTGTTCTCCCTCTCTCAATTAACTTAACAGGATTCTCATGTGTATACCACTAATACTAATGAAGATACAATTGGTACTTTAAAAGATTCAAAGTGAACACATTTCAAATAATAAAATTAGCCACTTTTACTTTCCATGGGTTTTTTCAACTACAGAATAAATAAAAGCACTGTCCTAAAAAGCAAACTAATAATATACATGTATAGACACATGTATGTGTGGGCACGCATACATGTACACATACACACAGTCATACATATAATACTTTTATTATGAACCTCTTCTTTTCAATATTCTCAAAGACAAACTAGATTATAAATGACTTTGCCTGATTCTTTATTCTAAATGCCTGGAGCAAGTGGTTAAGTGCACCTTTCAAACCTAGTACAAGGCAGTTTCCACTGCTATTTTAACCCATTAACTTGCCTGCAAAAACAAATAATGATGCGTAGCCCACCACAGCCACTACAGAAAGGCATCTAGAGCAATTTTACACATCATTCTGTAAGAAGCTCAATCTAAAACCTATTGTGTTTCAACAACAGCCCCTTATATGGTCTGAAGTAAATACGCCACAAACATCAATTTTATTTATTTAAATCTGTCAAAGGCAAAATCAGTAAACAAATTGCAAACCAATAGCAAACCAGATCTAAGATCCCATGTGTGTCTGGACTCAATATGCATTAAAAATTAAGTATAAATTGTATTAGGGTTTCACAGCATGGAGAGGGAATGTGTGATATGGCAGGTGCTCACCGAAACATCTGGGTCAGAAGTAAAGTGCCACTTTAATATTACAGAGTAGACTTACACAATAACATCTCCCAATTGTTCTTTCATAATATGGAATCTCCTGTCCCATTAAACATTATGTGAAATCTGTCAAGCAATCCTTGGGTTGTATGAATTTTATTCTTAAAAGACTTTATTATAAAAGCAGTATTTACTATTAATGAAGGACACACCAAAAGATATCACGGTTATAATCATAATATATAAGTTAACTACTGCAGATAAAATCTATCTAACTTGGAGGAATTACCATATTTTCCATGGTTCCTACTAATGGAATCAAAGAATGGAATCAAAATAATGGAATCAAAGTCTTGAATATGATAAAAATCTATGTATTCTGTTCTAAAATATTGCATAGGTAATACCAATTGACCCTGTCTAATTTGCCAGGCACTGTTTTTAAGAATCATGTAAAATTTCTCCATCATTACAAAAGCCTCCATCAACACTGTGTGGTATAGAAGGACACTAGAATAACCAAGAGGTTACGAAACGTGATCACACTTCCGCTTATCAATGGTAGAGCTAGGACTATACAACAACAGAAAGTCAATCTGGAATATCTATCAGACCACTGGCCAGAGACCAAGTGACTAAATTGGAAAGCCAACCAGCAGGTCAAGAAGACTGGCTCTGGCCCCACATTTATCATTTATGTCATGGATATAAATAATATTACCTCAATAGGCTCATTTACTAAACACCAGGATGGTTTTAGAGTCCCATTCTGCTACACTACTCAGTATCTCCCAGTCTCCTGTTGTCTCCCCAGGAGCCAGATTTTTCAGGGCACTGTAGAGCACCCTCTTGCCTGTTTTTCACACCCATACCTGATGAGTGAGATTTTCTCACTCATCCTCATCTCTTTCTATACATGGGTGTGGTGGCCATGGTGGGAAGAAGTCTATCACTTAGTTCTCCCTCTTCCAAGGAGGTATAAGCTTTCACCCTGACAAAATATCCTAGGAACTGAACTAAAAGAAATATGTTAAATAATGGCCTTTTCCTTCAACAATGGTCATATTGGATTCTCCTGAAACTGCTGCAGTTTAAGACATTACTTCTGGGTCTAAAGGTGAAACCGGAAAGAGGTTCCCATTATATATCTCACAAATTTAGAAGTCATTTGCTCATTCTTAAAATAATAATCATGTGTTTGGTTAGATTGATAAAGTTTTGTTTTCTAAAATGAAATATTGGTTTTTATGGCCAGCTCTCGTGACTAGGACAGCAAAATTCTGGGGGTTTAATTACTACTATTCCTGACAGTAAGGCTTTTATCTGCTACATCCTCACCATTTTAGGGAGTAATAATTTGTGCATTTAATTCTTGATCATTCTTAACAATTCTGCACAACAAATTGTCTTGCTTCCTGCTTCAGGCACCTCAGCTTCCTAAGTATGAATAATGATTAGTAACAACTCATCATCAACCTTTTATTTTATTAAAGTTTAGATGTGAACAATAGAAACACATGTAGCAGCTTCCTTGTATTTACTTTTTTTTTCTCCCCCCCCCCGTATTTACTTTTTAATCTTTCCTATTATTAGATTCCAGATTTGTTTATTTTTGCTTCCCCTCTGCCTTGTTATCAGGAAGGTTATTATATTTTATTGTCTTTCCAAATAACATGTATTTATTAATTCTATCTTACAAAATCAAGTTTCTTTCCTTTTTTATGTTTCTATGTTGAGTCATCATTCCTTCAGATTTGTTAAGGACAAATTTGTATTTTGATCTCCTTACTTTAAAAAAATAAAGTATTTATAACTTTAGCCATGTAGCCATAATTTAGAATAAAATATTTTCTATTTCATTTTCTGAAAGCATTTAATGAATATGCTCTTAAAAGTGGCTCTTATCTATTAAAGGAAGTTTTAGCTGCATTTACTAAATCAAGGTTTTTCCATTGCTTTCTCTGTGTGCTTGTCTTTATTTATCTACTATGAATACCTAATATTAGAACAGCATATCAAAGTCTTCTACAATAACTATGTTTAATCAATATCACCTTACATTCTGAATAGGTCCCTTTCCTCTACATATTTATTCAATTGCCTTATTTTTTGTGCAAATAGATTTGGACTTCTTAGTTTCTTTGTATGTAAATTGGAGATATTTCACTTACAATATTACTTTTTATCTACTTAAATGCATTTAATTCTGCTACTTGCTTTCTAAAATTTATGCAATATTTCTTTCTTTTCCTTTTTATTTTCAACTTCCTTTTGATTAAGGTATTTGGATTATAAATGACCTATAGCTACTTTTTGTTTTCCTTCCAATTTGAAAATAGATCCTTTAATGAGAAAATAGTCCATTCATATCCAGAACAAGATATATTTCTTTCCTTCTTTGTTGTGTTTGTATGTTTATTATTTATTTTTCCATTCTTACTCTAACAGCCTCTGATTTCCATCATATTGTTATTTACACACACACACACACCCTTCGTTACATATATAAGCGATATAAAAAAGTAGTGGATTGGGTTAAGCACTTAAGTAGCTACACTTTAACTTAAGGTAAGGATATTTTCAAATAGGGCAATTTTTTCTTTTAAGAAATTCCAAGATTTGTCTGGTTTAGCCCTCAAACACTGCCACAAATTTTACTTACAAGCAGCTAAATCTAAACCCTTAACAATTATAATTGCCTCTTCTTTGCTAACAGAACCAGAACAAGTTTACTAACATAATTTTAATTAATTTTATGCAAAAACTTTAGTGGTATAGCATTCCCCATTTCTATTTTCTTATTATCACATACTTCTCTGCCATTACTGGTTTAAAAAATGAATTTAAAAAAAGAAAAGTCATTACCTCTATCAAAACCTAGTTTTCATAGGAGCTAATCTATTTTCATCTATTGACTACTCTAATTTTATCCCCTCTTCTCTCTTCCTCTCATATGAGAACTTCAATATCCTTCTATTCTCCATCAGTTCCTCTTCTGTGTTCTGTGTTCTTATATATTTAGTTTAGATTATTAAATCTTCATTACAGTACTTTTCAAGAGTTCTAATTTAGCACTTTCATAAAACTGCTTATTGTTGAGATTTAATACATATACTAGTTTGCACATGTATCTCTAGTCTGTATTTCCCATTTAGAATTCTTTGTGTTCAGTCACTAGCTTTAGAGAAGTGAGTCTTACTAGAAGCTACATCACTTATGTAGGGTATAGCTAAATCGTGTCTCAATATTCTACTGAAATTTGATGCCTGATAAGACAGGGATGAAACAAGGAAGATACGATCAGAAAATTATCCATTGGATTTAGTAAGAAGGAAATAGCAACTTTAAGGTAAACAGCTGAATGTAGGTAAGTCAAAAATCAAACTGAATAAGTGGATAAATAAGATAAATAAAAAACTTCTATGTACCTTCAAAAAAACTTCAGTTTTAAAGAAAAGCATGAAACAGGTTATACCAAACATTTAGGCAGCACTTGTTCCAGCAAATGTTCCACAACACACAAGCACCAATGTGACATAACACTCAGATTTTTATGAGGCCATTTTCCTGCACTTATACTAGGTACATATTGGGGTAGCTACATTTTGCTTTCTCAACTGATAAAAATTGCCGGCATTCCCTTATGCCCTAAATGTGTCAATCAGTGCAGAAAGGAAGACAGAAAGACAGGCAGGCAGGCAGGCAGGCAGGCAGGCAGGTAGGCAGGCAGGCAGGCAGGCAGGAAGGAAGGAAGGAAGGAAGAAGGAAGGAAGGGTGAGCAAGCTACAGTAGAAAAATCTTGAAAATAGTAAATTTTGAAATTCTGACAACTATCCCTATGATCCTTTATTTAAAAAAATTCGAATTATAGGTTGTATTGTCATGTCCTGCAATTTACAACATGACATTTTTTTTAAAGAGTACAATGAGTTACATTGTGGAATACCCTACACCCTTAATACAGATTTGTTTCATAATTCTCAATGATTTTATTCAAGTCATTCACTTTTTATTATATCATATCATCTACATGATTCTAAAACTAGTAAGCATTAACCAGGTTCATTTGGTTCAAGTAATATCTAACAGATTTCTTCATTGGAAGTCACTATTTTAGCCTCTGAAACTAAGAAATATAAAGATATATTCTGTGACTGTGCAATATCCTTTTACCACTTAAATTCTTGCCAATTTGTATTTAGCATTTGCCAATAATTCTTGCTTGAATCCATTATCATTTTGATGGCTGGCAGATGTTGGTATTTTAACTCCATCATTCCTCTACCCTTCATAGATGTTTTCAAATTGTAAGGGAGAGCTTCCCTTCCTCTGCTATCTATCCATCCATTGGTCCATCCATCAAACATTACAGTGGGGACTCAAAGTCTATATACTATGCTATAGGTTATAATCATTTTAATATAATTTATTTTAGAGCCTCATGTTCTTTTAACCTAGATTTGGGTCTTTTGATGCAGTTTCTACCATTCTGTGAGCACTTTCTTGCTTTATATATCCTACACAATGTTCAGGTTCACCTTATTCTTCTATACTCTACCTTTGAAATCACCCATTACCCTAAGACATTCCAATCCATTTAAGTAGAATATGGTATTTAAAAACCAACATCTACCGAAAAAAAGAAACAAGTAGTGCGCATGAACTTTAAAAGCATGTTAACTAAAAGAAGCCAAAACTAAAAAGCACCCCTCCCTGAAAAAACACCTAAAAAGCCACATATCATATACCTCTAGACATATAAAATACCCATAACTGGAAAATCTGAAAAAAAATAGAAAGTAGTTTTGTAGTTTCCAAGGGATAGAGCAAAAAGAGAATGGGGGAGGGGGATTAAGTATTGGATTTTTTTTTTTTTAAGGATTGGGGATGTTTTACAATTACATCATGATGATGATTTTACAAACTTAAATATACTGAAACCCAATTTTATGACATGAAATTATTTTCTGAACACCAAGTATGTTCATTAGTAATAAGGATATTGTTTCTAGGACCTTCCAAAGAACAGCAAAGTGATAACATGTTGCTATATTCATTTGTTCAAATATAGATGTGCACATATATGCATTCACATAACATCTGCTCATATATAAAAACCATGAAATACAAAGTGCTATAATTCTAACTCAACACTACAAACTTCATTCTCTCCTTTTCTCTTTTAGAGCTGTAATTCCCTCTTTAACAGTAGGAAATATTAGGACCGATATTTGAATCCAGATAGACTTTAGGATAAACATTTACTTTAAGAAAACTATAATTTACTAAGCAAAATTTGGTGGGACACAACAAATATCTCCTCATGGATACTCACAGTGATACTGTCCAAGAGTTTAGCCATATGTTTAATTATCTCACCATGTTGTGCAGGTTGCATTTGCAGTAATTTCTTTATAACAACCACACTTTCAGCAACAACTATTTCTGAAAGAGACAAAGATTATTCATTTTAAAATATCTGCAATATAATTAGGCTTATCCCAATATGGGCCAAATTTAAATTAACAAACATTCTTCATGTTTTACAAGAGTAGGTAAAAACTACAAACATGACTGTCCTTTCTGCCTTTTCCAACTGACAAAGGCAGCCTACCTTCTTTGTTTCAAAACCAGCAATTAACCATTCTGATCGTGCTTCTGATATCTTCTCCTCTCTTCCCTATAAGATTCAATTATTCTGTCCTAACAAAAGAATCTCCCTATCTCCAGCACTTGAATTTAATCACACTTGCAAAGTCCCTTTTGCTATGTAATAGTTTTAGGATTTGAGTAGTTCACAGGGAGCATTATTCTTCCCACCATAGATTCCCTTCAGGTAAATTCACTTTTTATGCTACCTACAGGGTTTTTTTTTTGTTTTGTTTTTTTAATTGTTGGTTATTTGTCCTGAACTCTGGGCCTGGGTGCTGTCCCTCAGCTATTCAGCTCAAGCTAGTGCTCTACCACTTGAGCCACAGGGCCACTTCCGGCTTTTTATGCTTATGTGGTGCTGAGGAATTGAACTGAGGGCCTCATGCATGCAAGGCAAGCACTCTACCACTGAGCCACCTTCCCAGCCCTACATACAAGTTTTTAAAGAGCTGAGCACAGTGGGATTATTCCACTAGACGCACAAAATGATTCTACGTCTGGACATTTCCTAGTTTCCTCCTTGACCTAAACAAAAAACTTAACAGTCCTAACTCCAAAAGAAGAGCCTACTATTAGCCTCAATTTGCAAATGACAAATGTGGAACACACGCAGACTGAGTAATTACTCAAGAGAGAAGTGACATTTAAACACAGGCAGTCTGATTCTACATGTAAGCCAATGGCTGCCACAGAGTAAGTACAGTATATGGGAAGAATACTGCAAATTTATTTTATATTATCAGAAGCTTCCTTTAGGCTGTGAACTACAGGAAGGCAAAAACTAGTTATCTTATTAATCTATTCCAGTCTAAATACTTATTGAATTACAAAAACAAAAATTAAAATGAGTCTTCCATACCAATCCTTTTGGTTTGTAGTAGATGGCAATAAGGTTACTCAAACTAATTATGTTCATAGTTACCTAAAATAAATTACTTTAAGCAATTAAATTATACTAAGACAAGTAAAATGCGAATTTCTTCTACTAAAGACCCTAAGGAAATTTGTTTATCAAATTAATATTAAAGAGTGATTGAAGTTATTAAAAGTTCAGTAGGCTCAGAAGTTCACACCTGTAATTCTAGCTAGAAGCAAAAAGGTATCAGGATTATATCTCAACAAACAAGCCAGGCCTGGGGAAACAAGCCTGTAAACCCAGCTATACAAGAGGCACAGGTAGAAAGATCATGGTTTGAAGCCAGTCCTGGACAAAAGTGCCAAAACTCTACCTGAAAATTAACTAAAGCAAAAATAGCTCAAGTAGTAGAGCACTTCGCTAATAATCACAATGCTTTCACATCAAACCCCAGTATCACCAGCACCACCAACAAAAACATGGCAACATTCTGTTTAGGTCGAAGTTAACAAAAATAATGAAAACAATGTGTTAAAGAGCAGAAGCAAAATTACAGCTTTAAGTGGTGTATCTGAGCACCCCAGCTCAGGACAGAGAAGTCTGAGAATCATGGTTTGAAGCCAGCCTGAGCTGGAAGTAGAAGTGTGGCTGCAAGCTGTAAGTAGAAAAGCTAAAGGAGAGCTCCAGGTTCTGAAATCAAGCTTCAGTATCAGCACCAAAAAAAAAAAGAAAGACATGACATTTAAGATTATCTAGACAGAACTATTTAAGATAAAGTTTTAATTATTTTATACAGAAGCATATGTTTTTCCTATAAAGAATCTTAAGCAATTTAAAATGACAATAAAAGATTTATAAAGGTAAAAAGATGACTTGTTTTTGCTTTTTCCTCCAAATGATCCTAGTTATTTCTGCGGTATAAGCCATAGCCACAGAAACACCTGACATTTTATCACTGAATAGATAATATGAAATCTAGGCTACATATTTTGTTATATATATCTAGTTTCTCAGACCACTTATATAATTGCTCTGCTTAACCATGAACCTGTTCCAATATACTCAATCTTGAATATAAAAGTATTATGAGAATTTCTGAAAGAAAAAAATGTACACTATTATTTAGCTGGTTTCCCATGTTATACAGTCATTTGCCTGCTTTTAGCACCCTCTGCAGGTGAATCAATGTTATGCATGACTTACATGTCATTAAAAAGCAAGAGAATAGAATTTTTGTTGAAAGGGTAAATGGCGATTATTTAATAATGAAAATAGAAAAATGTTCTTAGTTAACTCAAGATAAATACTGTTTCTCAGTTAATTACTTAATTTTTTAAATATACACTTATGTGAATTTCAAGAATAAATAATAAAGGAAAGGTCACATGCAGAAAATAAAAACATGTTTTTAAAGAGAAAAGGGATATTATTGTTCAAAATAAAAATAAATACATGGATGACATATATTTCATATATTTCAAATATTCTGACTCCTGATATATAGAAAAAACTAAATTGTAATAGAAAGGGTTACAGCATAAAAATTAAAATAAGAATAGTCAAACTAGAATTTGACAGTAAAATTAAACTATGAACTTACCATCTTTGTTGGATAGTAGACAGACCAGGCCATTGAGGCAGGTGTCTGAGACTTCTGAGATGTTGGTTGCACATCTGCCTATAGTCTGAATAGTGGCTGCTGCAAATTGCTTATCCTGGCTTTTCACATAGGTCTAAAAGAATATTTTCATTAGTTTACATATTAGTACTATCTAGTGAATCCAAAATCCTACTTTAAATAGCCATGTCACTACATAAAAATTCCAAAATACATAACACAGGAGGACTTCTCATGAACACAAGAGGATCAACTAGTGAGTTAATACAGTTTTTCTCTTTTTATGTAAAGAAAGTGCCTTTTCTATAGAAGAGACATGTTTTCAAGCCAGTTCAATTCACCTGTGGCTATAGTGGCTTGAAACTCCAAAACAGATAGTAAGAGCAGTCATGCAAAGACAGTATTTAAGACAAGGGCAAGGTTGAAAGAAACAAGACTCTCTCTTTGGAGGTTTCAGTTCATTTAACCAGAAGCACCTGCCAGTCTATGAATAAAAGGGTCACTTTTGTACAGATAGTAAATTTAAAAATTGGGAGGAAAGGAAGAAAAGTACCAATATGCTATTAATAAATAATGATGTATAAATATATCAATATTGGCTAAGAACCTGAGATATATTCTAATATATAAATATGAGTAGGTCTTCTAAGGAATCCTAATTTTTTATCAGAAAGTTTCCTAGAAATATACATAGCTTGAAAGCTAAGTAATCTAGTAAATAACCAAACAACAATGAACATGATATAATATTCTACTACTATTGAAAAATACAAGATCACTGAGCTAAAGATAACTACAGTGTCCATAGAGCTAAAAAAATTAATTCAACATATCTATGGAAAATGTATAAAACTTGAGTGCTGGTTAAAAAAAAACACCACCAAAAAAACGAAACTCTGAGTTTGGAGACTGAAATCAAAGAATTGAGGTTCTAAGCTATCACAGGCAGACAAATCCTGGAGACTACTGAAAAGCCAGAACTGAAGACATGGCTCAAATGATAGAGCACCAGCTGTGAGTAAAAAAGCCAAGCAAGCACGTTAAGTTCAGGTCCTAGTACCAGCAACACCCT